GTTAGGCTCTTAGAAAATGACTTATCTTAGACATTTTAATATTTAATATTAAGTGATTCCATTCAGATTTTTCTATTAGAATAATATTCTTCATACTTTCTCTTTAAAATGTCATCATTCTTTATTCTGCTTAAGTCACAATATTTTGTGAAATGGATAGGATAGAAAATATGTTATAATTAAACAAAATAAAGAACAGAGAGGCAACATGCCTATGTAAAGTCATCTTTTCACTTTTTACTGTTTGGTTCTGCCTTTAATACAAACAGGGATTTAATTATTATAAAAATAGATTTTCATATTTTGAGAGAAGCCAAGTTTCAAATAACAGATTATTGAACTCATAAAAGAAAGTTTTAAAATATTTTGGCATGATTTCATCAACAAATAAATTTCAAGGAACAAGATAAAAAGAAAAAGTGTGAACTTACATGTTAAAAGAGTCTTAAGAGACCTCTCAACCAACCATGATATATTTAATACCAACCTGATTTACACAAACCAAAGATTAGAAAATAAATTGAGACAACTGGAGATATTTAAAAACCAGGTGGATCTTCAGCAACATTAAGAAATTACTGTTTGATTGATTTGACTCTGGGTGATGGGCAGACAATGCAATACACAGATCATGTTTTATAGAAATGTACACTTGAAACCTATATGATTTTATTAGCTGATACTATCCCAAAAATTTTAATAGAAAATAAAAAGTATTAAGATAAAGTAGAATGAAATTTAAAAAAGAAATTTCTAATTGATTTTTTTTTAGGTGTGGTATGGTATTTTGATTTATTCTCATCTGTATCATTTAGAGTTTTACAAAAATATTAACAGATTATATGATGTAATATCCACTATTTTCTTTAAAATGATCCTGGGTGTGGATAGGGAATGAATAGTTAGTATGGAGTAAAACAAGACTGGTCATGTGTTGATAGGTTATGAAGCTAGGTGAATGGTATGTAAGTGTTTTTAATATTATTCTCTTTATTTTTGCATATGTTTAAAATTTTCCATAATGAAAAGGTTTGTTTTTTAAGGCATGTTGGTAAAACTATAGGATAAATGCTGAAAATACTCTGTTTCTGTCCTTACAAGAAAAAAGTGGCACAAAATAAAATGCTGTCATACTTTGTTTCTTAGATGCTTTAATTGATGAGTTCTATTTAAATATTTTTACTATATATTACTGAATTCCCAGTTGGCTAAGTCAACATATTAAATCCAGGATCTTGCCAGGATTTTAAAACTTTACTGATTTTATTGATTATATTTTCTTCATTAATATAGTATTTAACTTGACAAGTTATAAAACTCTAACACCATAATAAAAAATGGTAGTTTTCTTGCATATATAAATTTCTTCTGAGTACCTACCTTATTGCTTATGTTGAATGTAAACTTCTAATAACTGAAAGTCGTACTGTCAAATGTTGATTTTATAAAAAATACTGCTTTTGACTGGTTCAAGCAAAACACTTCCCAAAGTGCAGCAGCAGCAACATAATCTGTTATATCTGCAATGAGGAAAAATTGGCAAGCATGATAAAAGTTACTTAAGGGAGAACTCCACAAGGAGATGAAGCACAAAAGGACACGCCGCATACGGTGGAATGGAGGGCAAATTCCGGAGGACCTCACGGAGAAATAGCAGCAGCTTGTAGGAGTTGAGTCAGAAACCTCAGGAGGAAACAATATGCTATTCATTTCTTCAAGTTCACTGTTAATTCCAACATTGATCGAACTAATTATTTTGATAATTTCTTCCCATTCAGAAGTGAAGGAAGTTTTTTTCAAATTTCCCTTTAGAACTGTGTTAAGCAGTTTCAGATTCACTCCAGTTAATTCTTGATGTTTTCTCAGTTGAAGGATAGGCAATGAAGTCAGAATGTGATTTAGCCACATTTTTAAATAAATGCATGTCAGTCAGGGCCTTTGGCCATGATCTTATTCTCTCCAGGCTACATGCTATCTCTACAAATTCCATTATGTTCAAAACTCCCTGGTCCCCATTCTGGGATGCATTCCCAGTTGTTCTACCAAACAATGGTATGGTGTTTGACTTGGTTGCATTTTTTTGGTAAAAAATTTTCTCCTAAAACTTTGGGTTTGATTTTCTTTACCAAGTGTTCTACATTATTTTCTGTTGAAAACATCTTGAGTGGCAGAAGACTATTTGCCAAAATGACTTCCTCTTGTCCTTCTTCATGTTCATCTCTTTCCCCATAGGGATGAAGTAGATTTCAGGGGATTCACAGGCTGGAGAGGATCTATGGAGAAGGAGAGCAAATCGCCCAGGATCATATTCTTTTGGGGGATCACTGTCTTCCTTTTGAGAGAGGTCATCTCATGACCAGTTCTCTCATTCTTGACCTCTGGTTCCCACAGAAGAGGGGGGTTGGTTGGCTAACAAGAGGACTGGAAGGAAAGCTTGTATACCCTGTAGATGTGTTGATTTAGAAATATTCTTGGTTGTGATCAATTCAGAAAATCGAGAGGAGACACAATAGATATTTATTATTTAGCCTGGGGTCAAATAACTTTTACACTATTTCTGAGTGCAGTGTGTTGGGGGATGGAGGTGAGCAGTCAGGTGTCGGACCTGTGGAACTGATTCCGGGAGCAGTAGTAGCTACCTCAGAGGCATCAATTCTCAGGGAAAGAGCTCTTGTAACTTTTAAGGAGTGAAGTTTCTTAGTAACTGCTGTGTTTGTGAGATCATATAGAAAGTTCTTGTTTTCTGAAGGAAACATTTCCAGAAAAGCAGCTGGTACAATTTCCATAGTGTAATTCCTCTTCTTTGGATAGGACTCAGTTCTCTATGTTGAAAGTTCAAAATGATTCTCACTGGGCTAAAATCAAGTGTTGGCAGGGCTAGTTCCTTCAGGAGGTCCTAGCGAAAATCCTGTTTGTCGGCCATCTCCATCCCCATTCCTTGGTTTACGGCCACATTACTTCAACCTCTGCTTCCGTCATCGCGTATCTTTCTCTTTGAAGTCATCTTTTCACTTTATGACATAGCCAGAAATGGTGTTTATGACTTTATTACTGTTCCTCATAATAAAAGATTTTATATAACATATAGAACCTTTAATATAGGATCTTTTATCTAAGGTATTCCTTATAATCTGGGAATGGGCTTTTGGTAACCATCAGTCTTACATACACTTTTCCATGAAACTTTTTTTTCCTACAATAAATTGAAGGGACCTATTCCATCAAAAAATGAAAGAAAATTTGATAGCTTGAATTGTTCCACATTAATTTTCAGCAAAGTATACACAAAGTAAGAGGAAATTATATATGTGTGTGTGTGTGTGTATATATATGGAATTTTTTTCTCTTGTAATTCAAGGTTTAGAGGCTGCGTTCCAGTGGTGAGCTATAATTTTTATAGAACAATGAAGTCAAAATGAAATAAGTAATTTGAATGCCTCTTTCTCAAGAAAAATAACAAGCTGACAAACCCTAAATATCATGTATTTCTTAAATTTGCACAGTTGGCTTGTTTCTTTTTTTAAAAAATATTCTGAATAATTATAAATTTTATGTAAATATTGAAAGTAGACCCTTTGGTATAATAATTTTTTAAACTGTCACTTTGTGTTAATTTTGAATTTGTTACCAGTCTGGACAGGTTGTAATAGGCAACAGCATTTGTGTTGCTTTATTATACGAAACAGCTGTCATTAATTTAAAGAGCTGTGCCTCAGCAAATTGCACTCTGATGTTTTAATTTTGAGACAAATGTGTATAAAATATTCTGAATGTTTTTGTGTTTAACATTTCTTCTCCCTGAATATCTGTGAAAACTATGTTACTTATTCACATCAATACATTTATACTGCAGTTAATACTTTTTAAATGTAGCAAATGACATGAGAATATATTGGATTTTATATATATACATAGGTATACTGTAGACATATAGTACACAAAAAAGGTGGTATATATACAGTGTACATATACGTATATACATATACAGTATAGAGTATACGCACACATACATGTACATATATACAGTATACATACTGTATGCATATATACATACATGTACACACATATATGTATATGTATGCACACACCGTATAGATGGAATTAACCAGGACCTTATTGTCCTACCTAGTGTAAATAGAACAAATATGTATATGGTATTAATCCTACACTGTTTTCAAATATCACTCAGTAATTGTGCACATTTTTTCTTATTCCATTTAGAGTTCTTACACTGATTATTCTAAGTCACTCTACAGTAATAGAGTGACTGATTTCTCCTATAATATTTTTGAATATATGCTATTTATTCTAAAATAAACATCTGCTGTAGATAAATTTTCTGTGCAGACCAGATGGGGTTCTAAGGCTTAATAACTGATGACTTTATTTCATGTGACTGCCCTTTTTGAGAATTTAAGAATGTTTTTCTTCTATATGTTAATAACGTTGTCTCCTGCAAGATGGTTTGTTTACAAGTGTTATCTTACCTACTCCTCATAGAAAATCTTTAGGTTTTGCATTGTTATTCTCATTTTACAAAGGGAAAAAAAACTTAGGTTCCCACAACTATGAAGTAAATAAACCCAAGACCATCTGTGCATAAAGGTCAACTGTTAGCCATTATGATATATTGTGCCCCAGGCTAATTTCTGTTTCAACCTCATTCACTCCTTGAAAGAGCTGAAGCAGGATAAATTCCAAAGTGCATCACTGGACAACCTGGTGCTCTACAGAAAGTTAGGATGGGAATTTAAGGAAGAAACAGTACAACATGAACAAATCAAATAGTTGCTAAGGGCCCAGCATATCTGGGATTAAGTGTTCAAATTTTAGCCACCTGGCTTATGTACAACTTTTATTTGTTTGGACTTATAATTCTGAATTTGAAGGCCAAGGGCTGATATATATGGAAATATTAAGGAAGTCATATTTCATATATCTCCTTCATGACCAAACTATATGGTAATAAAATTTTCTTTTCTCCTTTTTTTTTAATACAGTGGGATGTATTTTGCTTTCAACGTGGAGTTCACCCCTGTGGCTTGGATTTATCACAGTAGCATCTGTCTTCAGTCTATTTTTTAACTAGAAAGCAAGGGAAGACATGAGGAGGTTTGTTTACTGCAAGGTGGTTCTGGCCACTTCGCTGATGTGGGTTCTGGTTGATGTCTTCTTACTCCTGTACTTCAGTGAATGTAACAAATGTGATGACAAGAAGGAGAGATCCCTGCTACCTGCTCTCAGGGGTAAGTGCTTCTGAAGCAAATGTTACCTTTATAGAGACAAGAGAGTGGTGGTGACTCATGACAAAATGTGGAATGTCAGAATGGGGGTTGTCTAAGCATAGTGAGTTAGAAGAACATTTTGGCAGAACTATTGATGTGCATTTGACTATGGTAAGGCTACTCTACTTTTCTTGGCCTCAGTATCTTGTTAGAAGAAATGAGAAGAGTAAACTAACCTCTAGGATATGTTCCAATTCTAACAATTTCTATGTTCTATGACTGTATGGGAAAACTAATTCAGTGAAAATTCAAATTGTACAGAATTTTAACTACAGGCTTCCAGAAGGAAAATCGCTTAGAGACCAAGCATAGAGCAGAAAGAAAGAGACCGAATAAAGTGAGATGGTGGGAATTGTAGCAAAATGCAATGCACATGGCACTCCTAAAGACTTCCAAATATCATCAAACAAATAAACACTTTTTAAACAAAACACATATTGGTGACCATATTCAACTGGCGGGCCATCAGGTGGTTGCCCTGTGTATTAAGGGCAAAAGATAATTTCAAATATATCATAAGGTCACTGCAGCTCAATATTTACCTCTTTTGGGACCAGCTTCAATGACTAGCAAAGAGTGAATTTGAAAGAATCATGGTGATATATATATATGGTTTGTTATGTGAAGTCACAGATATTCATTTCCTGCAATTATTTCAGATAATTTTCTCTGTGATTTTCGCTGACTTCTAGATCTACAAAGATATTTTTGAGCTATTCCTAGTAAATGAGTGCTTCTAAAGTATTTAAAGGTGCTTCAAATTATTTTTATTCTCATGGAATTAAGCATTTTTTCCCTTTGAAATCTAGCTTACATTAATTCTCTGCTTAGAAAAAGCTTTCTTCATAAATATGGCAAAAAGTAAACTTTGAGCCTTGTTTGAAATGTTTGTACCTTTAGGAAGAGTGAGTATATATTCTGAACTTGAGATTTGCATTCATTTAATAAACATAATATCTTTTTAGTATTATAAATATTTTTGAAATTATTTATTAATCAGAATATGCTAATAAACAGTATCCCACTGATACTATCTAATTTTATAAGGTTTAGAAAAAAGGAAAGAGCATTTCCAAAAATTAACTCTTGTTAAAAAGTTATTTAGGATGTCATGAGTTTGCTTTAGATTGCAAAAATGCTCTTGCCCCACTGGAGAAATTCTGGTTATCTTTCTTTTAAAAAAATGAATATAAGTTTCTCATTGTAATTTTTGACCACTTCCAGGTTGAGAAAAAGTACTTTGGTAGTGACTAGACCTAGGCCCATTTAAGTAGTGTGTGTGCATCTTTTGTACCTTTATACTAGAACTATTCAAAGAAGAGACCATTGTGAGTCTATCAGTTTATGATTAAGAACATGGAGATTGATTTGCTGGTCTGTGGTTAAAATCCCAGAATAAATCAGCCTTCTCTGCTTCTTTGTTAGAATCGGTTGAGCTACTGCTTGACTGAAAGTAGAAATGTATTTTTGATGGATTACATCAGTTTGGAATGGTCACTTTATCATTTGTTGAATGGAGACATCTAGATGGGTCACAAAAATGTTACAGTCTGATTCAGCAAAATTATGACATTCTTTTCTATAAGTATCAAAAAAGTACAGTTTTGCTGATTTAAGTCCTTAATGCTCAGATTAAATCTCAAATGGTGAAATGTGATGATGCAAGACAAAAGTAGTAATTTTTCCTTGTACTTAAGTTATAAAATTAAGGCATATTCTCTTTCTTTTTAAGACTTGTTTAGTTATACATTATGTTTGTCTTGAGTAAAGGTAAAATGGATGTTAGGGGTGTAATTACACTTTTTAAAATAGTATCATATATTTTGTTTATGTTTAAAGTATATTTTATTGATTATGCTATTACAGTTGTCCCACTTTTTTCTCCCCTTTATCTCCCCCGACCCTGCACCTTCCTCCCTCCAGCATTCCCACCCCCTTAGTTTATGTCCATCAGTCATATGTATAAGCTTTTTGGCTTTCCCACTTCCTATACTATTCTTAACCACCCTTGTCTATTTTGTGCCTACCAATTTTGTTTCTTATTCCCTGTGCCTTTCTTCCTCATTCTCCCTCCTTCCACTGATAGCCCTCCATGTGATCTCCGTTTCTGTGATTCTGTTTTTGTTCTAGGTGTTTGCTTAGTTTTCGATTTTTAGCTTCAGTTGTTGATAGATGTGAGTTTGTTGTCATTTTAATGTTCATAGTTTTTATCTTCCTTTTCTTAGATAAGTCCCTTTAACATTTCATATAATAAGGGCTTGGTGCTAATGAACTCCTTTAATTTGACCTTATCTGGGAAGCACTTTATCTGTCCTTCCCTTCTAAATGATAGCTTTGGTAGATAGAGTATTCTTGGATGTAGGTCCTTGCCTTTCATGACTTTAAACACTTCTTTCTAGCCCCTTCTTGTCTGTAAAGTTTCTCTTGAGAAATCAGATGATAGTCTTATGGGTATTCCTTTGGAGGTAACTCTCTCCTTTCTTCTTGCTGCTTTTAAGATTCTACCCTTATCTTTAATCTTGAGTATCTTAATGATGATGTGTCTTGGTGTGTTTCTCCTTGGATTCAGCTTGTTTGGGACTCTCTGAGCTTCCTGGACTTGCATGTCCCATTTCTTTGACACACTGGGGTTTTCCTTCATTATTTTTCCTCCATTCTACAGTAAGTTTTCAATTTCTTGCTCTTCCTCTTCTCCTTCTGGCATCCCCATGGTTCGGATGTTCGAACATTTAAAGTTGTCCCAGAGATTCCTCAGCCTCTTCTCACTTTTTTGAATTCTTGTTTCTTCATTCTGCTTCAGTTGGTTGTTTATTTCATCCTTTTGTCACAAATCAATGATGAGTCCCAGTTTCTTTCCCTTTGTTGTTGGTTTCCTGTTTATATTTCTGTATTTTACTTTGCATAGCCTTCAGTTCTTCCTTTATTTTGCGACCACATTCAGCCATTTCTGTGAGCACCTTGATTACCAATGTTTTGAACCTTGTATCAGATAAGTTGTCTATCTCCTGGTTGCTTAGTTGTTTTTCTGGAGTTTTGATCTTGTTCTTTCATTTGGGCCATATTTATTTGTCTTGGTGCATCTGTTATGTAGTAAGGGGCAAAGTCTTAGGTATTCATTAGAGCAGGGCAACCCACTTCACTGCCTTGTGGTGCCACATGTGGGGGAGGGTCAGAGAGGGAACAATGCTGCTTGCTTGGCTCTTGCTCGGTTTTCAGTCTTGCCCCTGCTTCCTACAAGTGGATTGTGCCCTTTCGGGCACTGATTCCCAGTTGGGTGGGCTTGTGTGTATTCTAGGACCCTGTGGTTCCTCCAATGGACTCTTCTATGAGACTGGAAGATTTTCCTACTTTCCAAATGTCCACAGGTTTTTACAGCCAGAGGTTTTGAGGCTTTAGTTTCTGGTGCTGGAACCCTGGGTTGCTGGTCTGTCTCATTCCTCAGTTGTTCCTCTGGCTTATCTGCATACAAATGTGGGATATCTCTGTCCACCATCCGTGACCTTGGCCACTCCAGGTCCACCAGCCACCACCTTGTCATGTGTGGCCACCACCTCCTCATAGCTCCAGCGTCCCATCTCTGCCCCTCCTATCAGTATGGATGAATGTTTCTTCTGTAAATCCTTGGTTGTTGGACTTTTATACAGTTCGATTTTCTTGTGGTTCTGGTTGTTTTTGTTTTTATTATTTATTTATTTATAAAGATTTATTTATTTTATTTTTAGAGAGAGGAGAAAGGAAGGAGAAAGGGAGGGAGGGAAACATAAATGTGTGGTTGCCTCTCATGCACCTGCTACTGGGGACATGGCCCACAACCAGGCATGTGCCCTGACTGGGAATTGAACCAGTGACCCTTTGGTTTGCAGGCTGGCACTCAATCTGCTGAGCCACACCAGCCAGGGCTGTTTTTGTTTTTAAATTTGTTATCCTTATTTTGGTTGTGTGAGGAAGGGAAGCATATTTACCTATGCTTCCATCTTGGCTCAAACTCTGTATGTTCTATTTTTACTTATTATTTGAGGATGTTATAGCATTTGGGAATTTGTGTCATGTGGTTATAATATACTTTACTTACAGGAAGATGCTGCTGCTCAAAGTTTACTTAACTGAAATTTTTATGTTCTAAATATGCCAAGAAAAGGACTTTTGACTTTTTTAAAAAGTTAATCTTTTGGGACCTAAGTGTCTCTAGTACTAAAACAGAATTTGGGCATGGTGGTTTCTGAGATCCCTTATAGTTCTAAACTTTAAATTTTACACTGTATTTAAACACCCAATATTAGCATATACTGTGAATTAATTTTTTATAAATGTTTATTTATTCATCACATCATCAATTATTTAAGTGCCTATGAAGTCAATCTGTTGTATAACTTAAACTTACACAATGTTATGTATCAATTAAATCGTAATTTAAAACAGAAAAAAAAGAATATAGCACAGTAATGGGCAAAGGAAAAACAAATCCTAAGCAAAAGCATAATGACGTCATCTGAGTTCACAAGTGCTGTGAGAAGGTTACCACCAGGTTAAAAGCCCAGGCTCCATTCTGCACCCTGGCTCTTACCTCCTCCCCGCTGAACCTGTTATGTGACTTTTGACAAATTTCTTAATAAAATCTTAGTGTTCTCACTAAAATGAGAACCTTAGAGGCAATAAATTTTGCTTCATAGGGTTGCCTTGGAAATTAAATGAGATGATGTGCACAAGCACCTCAGTGGAGTATTGGCTCATGGTAACTTTTTTTAAATCAGTATCTGCTAGGTATTGAGATGGTGACTGAAAGGTCTGAATGAGGAGGCTTCATCAGACTTTGCTGTCCAGGGTGAATAGGGTCCATAGGAGGGGACAAGAAGAAGCAGTTATTCTGGATGAGGCTACAGAGGAGAAAGTAACTCTTTTTAAAATCGTTGTTAAGTGTCTATTATGTGGTAAAAAAAAAGCCCTGAAGATAAAAGAGAAGG